GGTGGCAGCACAGGTTCAAATTGTATTGCCCTTAGCTTTACTAAGCTTAAAGCCTTACAGGTTACATAAATGCAAGGTCAGTTAAAAAACAAAAACTAAAACAAACCCCAAAACCCTACCCTGCTAAGCCTATGTGCCAATCACAGCCAGTAGAGGACCTGTAATAGCCGTGACATACAATTCACAAGCTCCTGTATGTTGATTTTTCAGTCTTATGGTGATGAATTTGTCAGTCGTTTTCATATATCCACAAAACATGTATTATCGTGTGACATTTGTCTAAATGAAGGTTGAATTTTAAAAGCATATTGTTTCGTTCATCTTAATTTTTCGATTTTCTATGCAGATTTCCAGTTCTAAAAGGTTTTGTAAATATAAGCTGACTGTTTTAGCTTGTGTTTTCTTTCTTTTCACATGTTTTCACATGTGAAACGCTGCAAGTGGATGTGGGTCCGATTATGTGAAAAAACAATGCTTCAAGACCTCTGGCAGGGTGCTCACTGCCACTGAAATAAGATGTACTAAAGCAGACCAGCCTTTCTTTCCTTTTAGTAAACACGGTCATCCAAACTTAATTATTTCTGTTAAAAGCTGCAGAGGAGTTTTTGCTGAGTTTTTGCCACAATGGGAGCCTGGTTGGGGAAAACGCGTAAGAAAAGAAAATACCAATTTTTGTCAAAATTTGTCGAAATAAAATTGAAGAAATAGGGCAGTGGAGGCACAGATGCTGTATAACAAATGGGCCAGAAATCAAATGTGCATCCAAAACGTGGTGTAAAAATTATCTATGAAACCTTAAATTTGGTATTTACAAATATGCAGTATTAAAAATAAAACATGTTGTGCCTAAATAGAAAACCTTTATTCCCAGCTGAAAATTTGATTCTCAAACAAAAGTCAGCATGGGCGTGATGATTGTTACTTTGTTAGCTGTTCGACATCCAGTAACATCTCTGAGACTGAGTTTCCTGATTTGAAAAAATAGCAGCCCTCCCAAACTGAAGAGTTTTCCATGTGGCCCCAACAATGCAGTATGCACTAGGATTCTTTAAATACTAAAGTGATACATAAGGATTAGATGTTGTTTTTATTAAATCAATGGTTGCATCTCTTCTGATGTTTCTTAACTTTTCCAAATGCTGCTGTATTAAAGGAGACATTTCACATATATTTATGCCTTTATATCAAGGCAGTGATGGGTAACATGGGCACTCTTTTGACATGTTTGAGACTTCAGTTAAAATAATGTCTTGAATGTCTATATGCTTGGAAATGAAAAGAAGTGCAAAAAAATCCCAATTTACTGATGATGTGAACACTGAAGAAAATACCATAGGATACGCATTTGTTCATAAATAATAAATGTGCCCTCTCTGCGAAGCTCACCTTCAGTAAAACGGCACTGTCTTAAATGTCTCAAATTCTTTTGACCTTTCAGTGTGATAGTGAAGTCTTAAATGCAGTTTATCTAAATCTTCACTAATTATCTTTCCATTCAAATATCTTTGTATTTGTCGGTATTTATTCAGTTGCTTAAAAAACAAAAATCAGAAAAAAATGAGGAAACAAGGCAAAGAATCAAAAAGCCCAGGGGTTTCCTTCAGCACGTTCTGGATTTAGAGGCTGTTATGTTGTTTCCGTAGATGTGCCTGCTTTGTCTTTTTCTGAGGTCCATCCCTTTATAATAACAAGATGACCAGCAGGGCCTTTATGGAAGGAGAGCCAATTCCCAGTAGTTCTGTGTTTTGTTTTGTTTCCTCCTCTCCCATGTGGCTCATTTGGGATCCAGATTGTAGTAAGCGTCCTGTCTCTTCTCTCAGGACTCACCTCCACACCCCCATTCCTCCCTTCTTCCTGAACCGCCCCAGTCCTTGGGAGTTTTTGTCACCAGATCATCCCATCCACTACTATTCTATTTATTGCATTATGCTATTGTCTTCTGTTCTCTTGGGAACTTCACTTTATTCAGGGAGGGGGATGTTAGTGGCCATGCTCTTAACAGTTATAAGATGTGTAACTTTAAAAAAAAATAGTTTATTTTTGAGAGAGAGAGTGGGAGAGGAGGAGCAGCGAGAGGGAGAGACAGGATCCAAAGCAGGCTGCATGCTGACAGCACAGAGCCTGATGCGGGGGCTTGAACTCATGAACCATGAGATCATGACCTGAGCCAAAATGAAGAGCCAGACGCTTAACCAGCTGAGTCACCCAGGTGCCCCTAAGTTGTGTAACTTTTTTGCTTGAAACTCTCCAATGGATTTCCTTCCAGTACGCTTAAAATGAAATACACAACGTTATCATGGCTTACAGGCCCTCCTTGCTCTGGCCTCCACCTCTCCAACATCTTCTACCCTGTTCTTCCTTTCTTGACCATGCTCCAAAAGCACTGGTTTCCTTACTGTCCCCAGAACATGCAAAGTATGCTCAGGGCATCTGCATTTCTGGCTTTTCTTTCTCCTATGCATGTAATTTAATATGTACCAACATATACATATAATGCAACTTTGTGTCGAATGAATCTGTGTGTGTGTGTGTGTGTGTGTGTGTATTCATTCTGTATTTATTTGCTGCCCCACTATGTACTTTAATAACCAATACCATGAGAACTGAAACTCTGTGTTGTTTACTTCTGTAACCCCAGTGATTTCAACAATATATTGTCCATCGAGGCTCTTAGCCTTTTTCTAAGTAAATGAATAAGTGAAGGGATCAGTAAATGAACGCATGTATGAATGAATCATTCTGCCACACATGTTAAAGCATCAAATTTTCTCTCATAAGTGAGCTGGGTGGCTCAGTCAGTTAAGCGTCATTCAACTTAAGATTCCGTCTTCGCGGTCCCGTGAGAGTTTGACCAGCCAGGGAAACCTGGGCTGATGGCTCAGAGCCTGGAGCCTGCTTCCTTCTGTGTCTCCCTCTCTCTCTACCCCTGCACCGTTCATGCTCTGTCTCTCTCTGTCTCAAAAATAAATAAATAAATAAAAAACTTAAAAAAAAAAATAAAAAAAAAATGGTCTCATAAAGTTGGGGGCCACCCTGGGCTATAGTGTGGCCTCTGCTCCTCCTGATTGTGGTGGATTAAGAGTACACAGCAGACAACATTTTTGAGAAAAGCTAGATGCTGTCACTCAAAAGAAGGTTGCTGAGAAGGGCGAGAATAGATCCCTACCCCTTTACTGTATTTCTTGATCAAATTTTGTCAGCAAGATACAAAGAAGGTGCCCTACCTAAGCGTTAACAGCCCTGACATAAAGCTCAAATAATGTCCAGTGAAGGCTTGAGGGAAGGTGTGGCCATTCTGAAAAGGCAATGGTAGACACAGCTAGGATGAGGAAAGCCCAGGAGAACACGAGATCATCCCTGAAGACCATCCAGTTTTCACCACGTTCATCTGTGTGTGTTAGACCAAATATTACCCATCGTGCAGATTGTTGGGACATCTAAATGTTAGACAAAATAGCTTAAATCCTGAAGAAATCTTTCAGTATGTGCCCTACATCACTAGGTCTTGCATTGCACTTTTTGTGTTTTGGAGGCCAGGAGTATGACTGAAGAGTACCGACCGATCAGGTAACAAACCCTGTAACTACAAATTGAGTCAGTTGTGCTGTGTGTGCGAAAGTAAACCGGAACCTCCTGTTTCAAAGCTACTATGTACTTTTTGTCAAAAACGTGTCTTTATTTGCTACTTATCACTTTTATGTATGCAAAAAATTGTTACAAAATCGTTTTGTAAAAGGTAAAATTTCTGTTTTTGTAATTCAAAAACCTCAGGTCTAAGTACAATAGATTAGTAATGTAATATGGTACTTATGTTGTAATTTTTTGTGATTAAAAAAGCGAAGTTTTGTATTTAAAATTTTTATTTCAGTGTTTAAGAGATCATATAAACAAATATAAAAGAGGATGTCATGCGGCATGCACCATTACAAAAACTCAGTATATAGGGACAACTAGATTATATGTATGAAATTAAAACACCTGATATTTGAAATGGCACAAACATCTATTTCTCATTTATTTGACTTACATCTTCTAAATTATGATGGTCTCTTGCTTTAAATCTTCCTTCAATTATAATTTTATAAGTTGATGTTTTCCCTATCATTAGATTGTGATCATTTTGAGTGTAGTGTCTATGGCTCCAGACATCTTGTGTTCCCTGTATTATCTTCTCTATAATTACTGTGGAATAGAGGTTGTTTTTTTTTAATATTTTTATCTTTATCCATTTCAAGAAGGACGGAGAGAGCAAGTGGGGGAGGGACAGAAAAAGAGAGGGAGAGAGAGAATCGCAAGCAGGCTCTGCACTGTCAGCATGGAGCCCGAAGGGGGCTCGAGCTCACAAAATGTGAGACCATGACCTGAGCTGAAACCAAGAGTCAGATGCTTAACCAACTGAGCCACCCAGGTGCCCCGGGAAATCACTTTTTTGATAGAATCCTCTGTAAATGAGGATAATTGGAATGAACACATTTCTGAGCAACTTGTAAATCTATTAATGTGTTTATGCCAATAAAAGGTAGAAAACCGTGGCCACTTGCATGGCATGTTCAGCTGTTCTTTTTATATAACTGATATTGAGAAAATTTTCACATTTCTAATGGTGCCACGGGAAGGTAATGGAGAGAAGATTTTTAGAAAGCAAGAAATATGGTTGGAGTCTGAAAAATAGTTTGCAATGAAATGCAGACTAGTAGCACTCATAATTTAAATGTTTACTGGATACTGCATTGGGTACCGTATAGTGTTTCATTCTTCTCATACATGTGTATTTTCTCCTTTGAAACGGCCCGTGGAAATTTTGGCCTACTTCCCATTTAAAACTGGACTTGTTTTCAAATTAAGGGGGTATAGTAGTTTTTTCAAATTGGCGATCGTAGAAAATATAAAATCCTGCCGTTGGATAAGAAAATGTAAGTTTATTTTAGCGCACAGAAAACGTGGTTGTTTCCAGAGTATGTTTTCCCTTCCTTTTTTTTAACCCCTTTCCTTTTTTCCAGGCATTTCCTGGGAACATCAATTCTGACGGCGTGGTACGGCATGATTTGCAGCACGTGGTCATTGCCCGCTATGTGCGCATAGTGCCTCTGGACTGGAACGGAGAAGGCCGCATTGGGCTCAGAGTTGAGGTCTATGGCTGTTCTTACTGTGAGTACCTTTTGGAATTCGCGGTTGATTTTGTCATCTTCATTGACTTAGTAATTTGTTTATTTTTGATTCTTTCACATGACTTGCTTTCTCTGATGGTAAACTCCCTCGTTTTGTATATGAATAATATGCAAGGTTATTTGTATGTTAAAATATATCTTTACATTTTTACACAAACAGGCATATAAAAAATACCTTAAACAAAGGATTCGGGAATTGATTTTTGTTTAGTAGACTAAATGGCAAAGCTTATTAATTAAGTTGCCCAAAGTCTTATGAAATATTTAAGAAGCAGAAACTTGCAGTATTATCCATCATTTTGATAATTTGAGATGGATTTTGGATACATTCTCGAGGACGTCCTGCCACTTGTCTTCAGTTACACCTTTTACTATTTTAAAGCTAACCAGTAAGTTTTAATGTCACTGATATTTTACATGTGTATAAGTTTTATTTGCTTCATTTAAAAATTGACTTGGGGACGCCTGGGTGGCTCAGTCAGTTAAGCGTCCAACTCTTGATTTTGACGCAGGTCAAAAAAAATTTCTTTAATGTTTCAGCAAACATTAATGTTTTAATAATGTTTAAATAAACATTTAAATAAAATTTTAATTAAACACAAAATGTTTAAATAAATGCTTAAAAAAATAAAAATTGACTCAGTCACCTAAAGCAATACTTGTCCTTTAATTATGTTTTGAACTTTTTTTGTATTTTGTAAATATTTTAAAGTTTTTATTTATATTTTGTAAATGCATATATGTGTGTGTGTGTGTGTGTGTGTATACACACACACATTATATAAATATAGATAGATGGATAGATCTAGTGATTATAATATGTGGATTTTGGGGATTGTGGTTCTGTTGTCTCTCTTTTACTCATTTTGCTGATTTCCTCCTCCTCCTCCTCCTCCTCCTTCATTTCTTTCTTCTCCGATAGCCTTCTTATCTGCCTCTCCCTATCTTCGGGCTTCCTCATCTTCCTCACTGTGACTTTTGTTTCTTTGAAACTTGATCTGTGGAGCTTCTTTGGGACCGAGGTTGATGCTGGGTTCATCACAGAAGATTTATCTTTGCTTATTTGCTTCTATGAAGGCGTTGCCAACACAGAATTACTTTAAAGATCGTTTGAGCTGTTTTGAGGCCACTAGCTAGTGAGTTCAGTCTGCAAATACATGATTTGCAAATACTGGCTTTAAAATATGAATTCTCTGGTGAAATATTTCCGCCTCCTAGGAAGTTGTTTTTCCCCTCTTACTGCTAGGGGAAGAGGAATGCTGGATAGGGATGGAATGGAGAATTGGGATATTAGCCTCATGCAAGGAGTCTCCTGTTAGCCTCTCCTACCCCTTCCTATCGATCCAGAAAAATAAAAGCTCACTGTAACCAGAAGACGGCAGGTGTCTTCTTGGGCAGGCTTTTTGAAATTAACCAACATTTGGTAGTTTATAATAAAATACACATAAAGCCTTTACCTCTGTAAGAATTAGTTACAGAGATTGGTGAAAATGGTAGCCGTGGTGATGACCAAATCCTATTTATTTATTCATGGGCAACATCATTATGTGCAAACTGAACTGGTTGCTGCACAGGGCCATGGAGATCATTGAAAAAATTCCCTACTTGTTTATTTTATTTGGTCATCACTTCAGCATAGCAAATACAATGAATGGAGAGACATACGGATTTAGTTCTTCAGGAGAATGTGGCTCTTCAGGAGGAAGATATAACCCGCCAGGAGGAGCTAAAATGAGCCCTAACATAAATTTGGGTTTTTTATTTGTGTGTCTGGGTATTATGGACACAGAACCCTGTATTCACACATTTTCTAACAGTCAGCACATCGGGAAAGCCACAACAAAATGTGAAATTTTTCTCTACACGACGGATTTTCTAAGCAGCATGGTCAGCTTTTGGTAAATGAAAAATATGTAACACTCTTCACGGGAACCATGATGTGTGTAATTTATTTTATTAATAATTATTTACTGAGCACTTTTTATGTGTCATGAAATGTGCTGAATGTTAGTAATACAACAGTGAGTAAGGAAAACGTGGTATGGGAGACAAAAGGGAACAGTTAGTGTAGGAATAGTGTTTGGGGTAAGAATAGCGGAGGTGAAAGGTCACTTAAGCCAGCATGACAGAGCTGAGCGGAAAACCGGCTGGTGTGGTGCGTGTGGTGCCAGGGCTCACTACCGCTGCCTCTTTCCCACCTCGTAATTCCGACAAAATGAACACCTGGGCCGCCATCATCAAGTCAATGAAAGCATCGAATGGATACCCCACAAGCACCCATCAGGCCCCCTGCGGTTACTGCTGTTTTTTTAAGTTTGTGTATTTATTTTGAGAGAGAGAGGGAGGGAGAGCGAGCACGAGTGAACGCGCGCAAGCTGGTGAGGGGCAGAGAGAGGGGGAGAGAGAGAATCCCAAGCAGGCTTCGTGCTGTCAGCACAGAACCTGTCTCGGGGCTCAAACCCACGAACTGTGAGATGATGACCTGAGCTGAAACCAAGAGTCAGATGCTCAACCAGCTGAGCCAAATGGAACCCTAAAGTACACATTATTTCTCACCTGACTTACTTTGTTCAAAACAGTAATTGTGAGAATTAGCCACGCTGTCATGTGAGGGATTTGTTGATATTCATTAGTACTGTTACTCTAGTGTGTGAATATTCTACACTTACTCATTTTATGTTGATGAACATATGAATTGTTTCCAGTTTTTGGCCATTTGGGTCAGATTGCTGTAAACATTCCTCATGGGTGTCGACTTAGGAATAGGTAATGCTAAGTTAGGATATCTGTATGCTTTAACTTGTGTCAATCATGACAAATTTTTTCCTGAAGCGGTTGTATCAGTTCAGACTTCCATGGCCGATGTCCTAGTGTTGCTGTTGCTTCACAAATTCCTGCACTTTTTATTGATTTGAAAGTCTTAGCCATTCTGGTGAGTGTTATTTTATCTCATTGTGGTTTTAGGGAACACTTGCCTGGCTTTTAAAGAGGTTATGCCTGTTGGTCATCTATAGGCCCTCTTTTTGAAGTGTTTATTGGAGAATTTTGCCCATGTTTCTATTGAGGTTCTTCTTATTGATTTATCTTCTCATTGTTCTGAGTAGTTTTTACAGCCAGCTGTCTTTTTAAAATTTCATTCTTGTTACAGTCTCTAGAAATGTATCTAAATATCTAAAAAAAATTGAAATGGTTTTCTTTACAAATAATTGTTCCATTCCATTCCATTCCATTCCATTCCATTCCATTCTATTCCATTCCATTCCAAGTTTATTTATTTTGAGAAAGAAAGAGAGAGCACGAATGTGGGGGCAGGTAGAGAGAATCCCAAGCAGGCTCTGTGCTGCCAACACAGAGCCTGATATGGGGCTTGGACCCATGAACTGAGAGATCATGGCCTGAGCTGAGGTCGGACACTCAACCAACTGAACCACCCAGGCACCCCTAAAATTAATCATTTACATTTTTTTTTAACATTTATTTATCATTGAGAGACAGAGACAGACAGAGCATGAGCATGGGATGGGCAGAGAGAGGGGGAGACACAGAGTCCAAAGCAGGCTCCAGTCTCTGAGCTGTCAGCACAGAGCCTGACGCAGGGCTTGAACTCACAAACTGCAAGATCGTGACCTGAGCTGAAGTCGGACGCTTTTCCCACTGGGCCACCCAGGAGCCCCATAAAATTATTTTAAAACCAACGCCATCAGTGGGGTTACTTTAGAACTCAAAGTAAGGGCAAATGCAGCTTGCCCAAAGGTAAATAGTGCGCTGACCTGGGTGTGGCCTAAAACATGAGGGCATGTACTATACTCATCGCAAGTGGATCTGTAAAGTCGTGTGCTAGTGCTATTATGGGCTTTTCCATCTGGTGAGGGCTCTGGAAATCACAAGATGGGAAGGGGGAAAAATACCTGAAGCTAAATAGGAAGCTAGATTTTTCCAGTGTTAAGTCCCTCTGTGGCAGGGGAGGGAGAGGGGTCTGCCACTTTAGGAAAATGTACTAACATTACACCAATAGATGCCAGTGGAGTAAATGATGAATCGGCAGCATAAAATAAAATAAAGTCAAATAGAAGTTTAAAAATACCACTGTAGTAGGTTGAAGTAAATTGGATAATGGCCCCAGAGATATGAGTTACTCATCCCTGGAACTGTAAATGTTATATTGTGTTTGTAGATATGATTAAGTTAATTATTGAGACAAGGGGAGATTGCCCTGCGTTATCCAGGTGGGTTCTAAAGCAGTGGGTTCCGTCCTCATGAGAGGTGGACAGAGGGAGAATTCACAGATAGGAAAATGGCTGCATTGTGACCACAGAAGCACAGATCCAGTGATATGGTTGTAAGTCAAGGAATGTCAGAAGCCACCAAAAGCTGGAAAAGGAAAGGAACAGATACTCCCCTGGAGCCTCTGGTGGAATTCAGGTCTTGCTGACACACTGATTTGAATCCAGTGAAACTGATTCGGGACTCCTAGCCTCCTATAACGCTCCTGTTACAACAGGGGCAGGAAACTGTACCAGCATCAATACCAGGATAGGGGGGAAAAAGGTATGAAAATAGTTCTAGAGTAATGCTCTTCAGGAGAACTTCAGGCAAAGACAGAACTGTCCTTGACCTGCTGGAGGCCACTGCTCAAGTTTGCCTGTTGAGCACTTGAAAGGTAGCTCAGACAACTGAGAAACTACATGTTAAATTGTATTTAATTTTAATTTATTTGAATTTGAATTTAAATAGTGTGACTGCTGGCTACTATATTGGATGGTATAGATTAGAAGAACCAAAACATCCGTATGTTATTATTTTCTTTCAAGTCCTTTTATAGTTTAAAGTATCGATAACATTCATTTTTAAATGTCATTGTCTAATTTTTCCCTTAGTTTGGAAAACATCGATTTAATCACCCTGGAAGCTGTCTTTATTGTCAGAAAGTTGGTGACTAGTCATTTCTCTCACCAGATCCCTAACTGGGCCATTTTCCAA